ATAGTTATTTGATGAATTGTTATATTGTCAGCAACTCCCCAACACTATAGGGGCAATTCTTATCTGAAAGAGGAGAGCATGTACTGAATCATATGTGATATCCTATCACTCACTCTAGTGAGAGATATCTCTCAGATCAAAAATTAAACCTAATTTGAACATCTATTCCTAGGCCTACATAATAAAAATTATGAAACTATTTGTCTAGACCACATGTGTCAAACACAAGGCCCGCGGGCCAAATCCGTCCAGCCAGGCCTTGCAATGTGGCCCGCACCGCGCTGTCATCACTGCACTCCGCTGCGTTTCCATCACAATGACAGTTTATGACTGTTCAGTAAACCATTCGGCCCGCGATTTAGGCTGGATTTTAGATTTTGGCCCCTTCTCTGATTGAGTTCGACACCCCTAGTCTAGACCCAGAAAAGAGAACATCTAGAACCATTCTCATGTAGCAAAAACAAGATGGTACATATCAAGCAGAGATAGGTCAGAAACTGGAAAAGAACAGGACCAGAAAACTTAAGTGAAATTTGTACTGACACTTTGAAGTAAGAATCCTAGGAAAGAGGATATGAACAGAACAAGGCAGGTAACTTAATGAGCTAATTATCTATTAAAGGATCAAAAGCCTGCACTTTGTAAACTTGATTCTTCTCACTTTATTTTAATTCCTTTATGTTCTTTTCTACTAAACAAACTTCCTTTCAAAAAACTCAGCATGCTTCATTATATTCCACAAATGAGTGAGATCATGTGATATTTATCTTTCTTTAACTGGCTTATTTCACTCAGCATAATACTCTACAGGGTAAGAGATGAACCCAAGGACTTTCATGCATTTATAAAAGCATAACCAATGGACACAGACAGTAGGGGGGTGTGAGCATGTGCTACGGAGTGGGGGTGGCTGGGGGGAGGGTCAATGGGGGAAAAAGAAGACATATATAATACTATATGTAATACTTTAAGCAATAAAATAAAACAAAAAAAATTAGCATGCTTTCAATATGCTAAAGGAAAAGTGATTTTGCCATGACAGGGCAAGAGTTATAAAGGCAAAGGTATACCCAACCTCCCTCCACACCCCTCCCCACCACTTTGGAATAGTGATGATGCCCATAATCAAAGTGAAGTAAGTTTAAGGGATACAGATAACCACAGAAGACCAAATTATGGCACACAGTTTCAATACTTAAATGTTCTACTTAATAAAGCTTGAGGTATTTTGTATTTTAACTGCAGGTAGGCCCTCACAACCACAACCCATATTTTAGGTTTTTCAAAATGTCATTTGAAGTCCCTAAATAATATTTACTAAGTATTACTGATAGAAAGTAACATTTCAACCTATGCTTCCAAAAGAAAAGTTTTTAAAAAAAAGAAGTTAAATACCTGCATTAATTTCCAATAATATTATCCCTTTAATTATGTTTCATATACAGAATAATTATGTAAACTATGTCACATTACAAATTATGTCACAATACTAATTCATTCATTTAAAATAAAATAAACTTTATTTTTTAAACATTGTGATAAATGCCCACTTTTTAAACTTCTAAAAGTTCTATAAGAGTTTAGCCTAAAACTACCCCCACCCAAAATCAACAGCAATTAAGTAAATAAATTAGAAATAATTTTATAAACAAGGAAATCAATCTTCTTCTGGCATTTGTTTAAAATTTTAAGAAGAAAAATAGACTACTAGAACTTTTTTCTTGTTCACTCATTATATAAAAAAAGCAGAATTCCCAATTTCTTATTCTTTAAATCCAAGAAATTTACCCAATATTAAATAGAGTAAATTTTAATCTAGATTGTATTTTATATTATCTCACATGGAATTGACTAAAATCAGTATTAACATAAAATAATATTTCAACATCCTGACACGTCATTTTTAACAACTTTAAAATCTACCTACTGTGTATTTTACTACATTTCCTTCTTAAAATACTGGGATTATGTATCAATTTTAATAAGGGAACTGTTGGTAGAACTAGAAAGCCCACATATCCATTAATATGCTAGTTTGTGGGCCATGGCATGGAAGTAGGAATGACACTTCTAATGATTAGATTTAATGACCCACTATTGAATGTTTTGCTTTTTGTCCTCTAAGCTCCAGCATTCTCAAGACAGAGAGAAGCAACATATGTTCTAATGAATTGAAAGCTGACCATTCCTGGCTCTTTATGCTATAAAGCAAAAAGCAATATAAGGACCTACCCGGTTTGGCTAAGTGTTTAGAGCATTGCCCCAAGGACTGAAGGGTCCAAGGTATGATTCCAGTCAAGGGTATGTAGTGCAGTTGCAGGCTCAATCCCCAGGACTGTTTGGGGTATGTATGGAAGGCAACCAATTGATGTGTCTCTCACATCAATGTTTCTCTTTCTCTGTCTCTGTCTCTCCCTCTCCCTCTACCCACTCTCTAAAAATCTATGGGGAAAGAATATCCTCTGATGAGGATGAAAGACAGACAGAAAGAAAGCCAAAAGGAAAGGAAATGGAAAGGGGAAAGGGAAAAGGAAATGGGGGAAAGGGAAAGGGGAAAGAAAAAAGGGGAAAAGGGAAGGGGAAAGGAAAGGGGATGGCCACTTTTATATCATTTCTTCCTTGTGAAGTGTCTAGGCAGGGGAAGCGGCTGCAGTGCCTGAGGCTAATTTCCGGGAGGCCAGTGGTGCTGTTGGGATCATGCCAGCAGTGCCAGTCCAGTGGTACCTGGCCCATTCTCCAGAGATTGGACCTGTAGGACTACTGAGGGAGGGAGTGGCTGCCACCGGGCAGATGAGCCATCAGGATGGGTTAGTCAGCTGAGCAGCACTCTTGTTATGGGAGTGCACTGACCACCAGGAGGAAGCTCCTGCATTGAGCGTCTGCCCCATGGTGGTCAGTGCACATCATAGCAACCAGTCTAACGATTGGTCATTTGGTCATTCGGTCACTTAGGCTTTTATAGATAGATAGATAGATAGATAGATAGATAGATAGATAGATAACAGCATATTCATCAGCCTTGAGACAATCAAATCCCACCCCCTTTCCATAGTTTTGTAGGGGTTTTAAATGTTTTTAGTATTTTAATTTTATTGAATTTATTGGGGTGAAATCCTAAAAAAAAAGTAATATGCAAATTAACCATCGCTCCATCACAAAGATGGCAATGCTCAGTCCCCTTAGCCCTGCCAGAGTCCCCCAGTCCTCGGGAGGTGGGAGTGGGGGGCGGCCACTGAGAGCGGGCAGCCACGGCAATGAGGCAAGCATTCCACCCCAGGCAAGAAGGGCCTCTGGGCAGTGGGCGCAGAGCATCCAGGGTGGGACACAGAGGGCCTCTGGACAGTGGAGAGCCTCTGGTCAGCAGGCATGGAGCAGCCAGGCCCTGCAGAAAGCAGAGAACCACGAGAAGTGGGCCTAAGATGTCAGGGCTCTCAGACTGGAGAGGGCTCCTTTGAGGGCTTCCAGATTGGAGAGAGTGCAGGTCGGGCTGATGGACTCACCCACCGTGCAAAAATTTTGTGCACCAGGCCTCTAGTTGGTTAATAAAATTCTATAGGTTTCAGGTGTACAATTCCATAATATATTATCTGCATATCATATTGTGTGTTCACCACTCAAAGTCAAGTCTCTTTCTGTCACCATTTATCCCCCCTTTATCTTCTTCTACCTCCCCCATTCCCCTTTGGTAATCACCACACTGTTATCTGTGTCTATGAGTTTTGGGGGTTTGTGGCTTAGTGGTTTTAAAGTAGCTTACAAACACAGGATATCCTATCCCTGGAACCACAGGTGTTGTTCCATAATGAAACTGGACCAATCAGACTCTCCCTACTGAGAATTTTAATTTTCTTTGGAGCCACACATAAAAAAATGAAAGGAAGAAAAAAAAACAACAACAAAAAACAGAAGTAGTAAAAGTAAGAGGAGGAGGAGGAGGAGGAGGAGGAGAAGAAGATAAAAGATAAAGATGGAGAAGAAGAAAGGTAGTGGGGGTTGGGAGGGGAAGATTAGAAGGAAGAGAAAGAGGGCAAGGAAAAAAAGAAGGGGGAGAAGGAGGAGGAGAAAGGAAAGAAAAAACGTAAATAAGTATATCCAATGGTAGTTTCCTATTAAAAGTTGCAGAAGTTTCTACGACTGCAATACCTAGAATTATCTTAGTCTTATGCTGCCTTAAGACTTAATTATTCAATCTTCCTTTAAGTGTATATTAGCTACTTAAGTTCCTTTCCTATAAATCTTTCATGATAAACCTACTATCTATCTTTAAAATCTATGTTATTGCTTGTAACCAAAGTCTACTAACAGAATGGTTGCTATTATCAACTCAGAGAGACTAATGCAAAAGTTAAGGCCTCTGCCACTGCGTCTGGGCCTCCAACATGGGGTCAGCTAGGAATCATTATTTATGAAGGCAAAGTGTGGAAAGAGTAAAAGGTGATGTTCATGAATATAAAGATACTAGTAGCCCTGCATATGAATCCATGCACCAGTAGCTCTCTGCCCACTGTCCACACTCCTGAGGCGCCCTCCTCATAGCTTGCTGCCCTGCCCCGCTCCTGTAGCTCTCCGCCTCCTGCAGCTCTCCACCACCCACTTGTGGTTCGCTGCCCCACCCTCCTGCAGATCCGTGATCTGGTCATTACACAGTAGGTCATTACGCCTCACGGCACAATAGATAATTAGCATACTCCTCTCATTATAATGAGAGGAGTATTTTTAACATGAATGAAACATCAAAAATACTCTTGTCAAACACTCTTGAGACTGTATAGAATTAGGAGACATGTGATTCAGTTTCAATAGCTCTGGCTTTACAGAATATGTTCAACCAGCATTGAAACACATTTACTTTCTCTTATTCTAACTACAAAATATAGATTAAAAGGAGAAAGGAGATAATATGAAGGGGGAGGGGGGAAACAATTGTCATGACAGTCTATTAAAGAAAGAAAGCATAATTTTATTAACTTAAATAATTATAATATTTATTATAAACTTACCTGATTTTCAGAAACATTATAGTGTGCTGGACCTGGAATAGCTTCCTCAGTGTTAAGGGCAACAGTGTTTCTCGCAACCAAAGAAAGGAATGGTGCATATCCACCTATAAAAGTAAAATCGTATCAGTGACAGATAATATTTCAATTATTTCAGAGAAAAAGCACTCAAAATGCATAAAAATCAATTATTAACTTCAACTGTTGATACTATTCTATCAGAATTAACAGCTAGCTACAGAAGTTGTTGAATTTTATTTTTTTTAATATATTTTATTGATTTTTCACAGAGAGGAAGAGAGATAGAGAGTTAGAAACATTGATGAGAGAGAAACATCAATCAGCTGCCTCCTGCACACCTCCCCACTGTGGATGTGCCCACACTCAAGGTACATGCCCTTGACTGGAATTGAACCTGGGACCTTTCAGTCTGCAGACCGATGCTCTATCCACTGAGCCAAACCAGTTCCGGCAAGTTGTTGCATTTTAAAGATTCTAATGTAAAAGCAGAATTTGTGTATTTGTGTGTGTGTGTGTGTGTGTGTGTGTGTGTGTATTAGGTCTAGTAATAATTAATGTCGTTTTCTAATACTTTTTTAAATCGAATTTATTTAAACAATACAACAAAATTTAATCAACAATATAGCTGCCGTTGTTTTCTACTACTTGTGCCCAATGCTCAGGAAGCATTTTAATCCCTCTGTTGTAAAATTCTTGTGATTTTGATGCAAAAAATTCGGTCAATGCATTTTTGAGGCATTCTTCATTATTAAATTTTTTTCCAAGAAGAAAGTTTTGCAAAGAACGAAACAAATGGTAATCGGAAGGGGCAATATCAGGAGAATATGCAGGTTGAGGGAGAACTTCCCATTCCAACTGGCGCAGATTTTCAGCAGTGATTCTTGCAGTATGCGGTCGTGCGTTATCGTGGTGAAGAATTACGCCCTTCTGATTAATCAGCGTGGGTTCTTTTTCTCTTAAAGCTTGGGCTAACCTTTCCAATTGGGCACTATACACTGCACTTGTAATGGTTTGGTTAGATGGTAAAAGTTCATAATGAAGAATTCCTTTAAAATTCCACCAAACACACAACATCACTTTTTTCGCATGCAAGTCAGGTTTTGGCGTGGGCTGCGGAGTCTCATTTTTGTCCAACCATTGAGGCCGCCTTTTCAAATTAACATACAGCACCCATTCTTCATCTCCGGTAACAATTTGCTCTAAAAACGGCAAACGGTTTTGACGAGAGAGGAGCGAACTGCAAATTGTGACTCTTTGATTACGGTTGTTGTCGGTCAACTCATGAGGAACCCATTTTCCAAACTTTTGGACTTTGCCAAGTGCACACAATTGATTGGAAATTGTTTTTTGTGAACAATTTAAAGTTGTCGCAAACTCTTGTTGGGTAATTGGAGGATTTTGCACCAAAAGAGCTTGAAGAGCTTCTTGTTCTTGATCAAAATTGGACACACGGCCTCGACCACTCTTATCATCTAACGAAAAATTTCCCTCGCGAAATTTCTCAAACCAACGCTGGCATTTTCTGGCGCTAACTGCATCTTGACCAAGAGCACTACAGATGTTTTTTGCAGCCTCACTTGCTTTTCTTCCTAATTGGAACTCGTAAAGCATGCAGTGCCGAATATGCTCTTCATCCGCCATCTTCTTAGCCCTAGTTTTGCAACAAAAACCAAACCAAACACGAACTTTTTCCAGCAAAACTTGTTAATTGCACTTCACACGTTCTGTAGATACCACGTGTTTGAAGGTTATGTCAATACAAGTCAATGCCAAGCAAGATTTTAAACGAATGTTTAAAAACGACATTAATTATTACTAGACCCGGGGTGTGTGTGTGTGTGTGTGTGTGTGTGTGTGTGTGTGTGTGTGTGTGTGTATCTATCTTATATATTAAATATAAGAACCTGGATTTGCTAAATAACAGAAAAAATACCTAAAGAAAATAAAAAACAAAAGTCTGTTTTCTTCTAAGCATATTTGGTTGAGATAAAAATGGCAGTTATATTTAGCTGATAAAGTATTTTCATCCTCCAAAGACCACTGTTTTGTATTTTGGAACAGCATCTATTATTTGTAGAGAATAACATATATAAATTTATAGAGACAGCCTAAGTAGAAATAACTTAAAGTGAGTTTATAACAAGTAATTAATAATGTCCCCTTGCTTTGATCCATAGTTGGATTGCCTCACCCCAAAGGTTTATAAATAAAAGTTACAAATTTCACAGTAAAAGCAATCATAAACTTAGACAAACTTAGTAGACAGTAGACAGACTTAGCCTGCTTAAAGACTGATAAATATCTCAAGAAATGTATCAAGAAAATTAGTATAGTTAAAGCAACATAGATATTAAAGAAGAGATGGGAGCCCTAGCCAGTTTGGCTCAGTGGATAGAGCATAAAGCCATAGACTGAAGGGTCCCAGGTTGGATTCTGATCAGGAGCACTTCTCTCAGCTGTGGGCTCAATCTCTGGTTCCAGGCACATGTGGGAGACAACCACTCAATGTGTTTATCTCATGTGGATGTTTCTCTCTTTCTGTCTCTCCCCCTGCCTTCCACTCTCTCTTTTTAAAAAAAAAAAAAAAAGGAAAAATATTGTTTGGTGGGGATTAACTGGAGAGGAGAGGGGAGGGGCGGAAAGGGGAGGGGAGAGAGCAGCTATAGTCAACAGGAAATAAAAGAATGAAAGTGAGGACTCAAAACTGGTAAGAATCTTGTACACTAACAGAAACTGAAGGATAGTATGAAATTTTTTATGGTGATAATTAGAATAGTTTAATATCTCCCTAACTCAGACTAATATCAAAAGGTATTGATTTTAAAACTAGAAATAATGTTTCTTTTGAGGCCCATGTGTATTAAAATATGACTGAAATAAAATATTACTTACTTGTGTTAGGTATTACAACATAAAAGAAGTGAGTAAAATATAGACTTTACCCTATAAGCAATAGTCTGTCAAAGATTAAGAAAAGAACTAAAATAATTTTAAATTAAAAAAATATATATCATGTGCCAAAATGCTTAGAAACTCAAACGAGGGGAACTTTTCAACTATGCTTAGATGATTAGGAAAACCTTGATGGATGATGTTAAAACTTTGATGGTTTGAATTGGCTGTCCCAAAGCAAAGAGAAAAAAAAAACCAAAAACACTTGGATAGTAACAAAGACCACAAGAACAGAAATCCTTATAAGGAAGCCAATGCTCATTTTGAAAAGGCAAGCGTTGTTCAGTAGAGCTGAAAAACACAGGACATCAGAGAACTATCCCAACTCGGTAAGAAACTAGAGAACAATACACAGGTTTCATTCAAGACACACAGATAGCACACAAAATTAAGCTATAGATTATATAAAGTCAATAGTGCAAACTACCAAAAAGTCTTCTTCTAAGTGGGAGGAAAATAAGTCATGTAAACAGGAAAAGAGTCAATGAAAAGAAACAGATCTAGAAATGAGAAGATGGAGTTAGCACATATAAACATTAAAGTACAGTATCATAAGTATTCTTCATATGTTCAACAAGGTACAAGAAAGATGAACATGATGAATAGATAAAGGGGAGATACTACATTAAAAGATTCAAATCAAACTTCTAAAAGGAAAAGTGCCACTGGATAAAATAAACAACAAAATTTTTTTGAGTTAATAAAAGAGTTAATGAGTTAATAATATGTAAAGTGGTACAGTATTTTTTGAAGGTAGATTGTGATAACAGACATTATAAACCCTAGAGCAACCACTAAAAATAAAAAATAAAACAAAGAATTACAGCTGGTAAAACAATAGTGAAGACAAAGACAAAAACAGAAACATTTAACCCTGACTGGTGTCACCCAATGGTTAGAACATCAGCACATGCACCAAAGGATTGAATTCTGGCCAAGGGCATGTACCTGGGTTGCAGGCTTGGGGTGGGGATGGGAAGCAAGCAAATAATGTGTGACTTTCACATCAATGTTTCTCGCTCTCTCCCCCTCCCTCCCTTCCACTCTTCCTAAAAATCGATGGAATACAGATCTTGTAACATAGAAACTCACACCTAAACCTATATGATCATGTTGACAAATGTCACCCCAATAAATTTAATTTTTAAAAAATCAATGGAAAAAAATATCCTCTGGTAAAAACTAACTGAAAAACAACAACAACACAGAATCATTAAAAAAAACAAAAAACAAAAAACCACCACAAAACTCAACTCATTCAATAAAGGTTGGAAAAGAAGAAAAAAATAATAGATAAGATGAATAGAAAACAAATAGCAAGATAGTAAATTTAAATGTAAAAATATTGATAATTAAGTGGAAGAATTCCAAACATGTCAATTAAAAGATAGAGATTATCAGACTAAAAGAAAAAAGCAAGACCCCATTTTATGCTGTCTATAGGAGACCCTCTTAAAACATAAAGACACAAGTTCAAATAAAAGGATGAGAAAAATATGCCATGCATCCATGAATCCATGAAATCTGTTTTGACTATATTAAAATCAAGGAAAAGCAGGAGTAAGAGAGACATTTCATTATGATAAAGGGGTCACTTCATCAAGATAATTTAGTAATCTGTAAAGAAAAGCAAGAAAGTGATAGCCATAAAAATCAGAATAATATTTACTTAATGGGGAAAGGAAAAAGATTATGATTAAAAAGGAAATTTTGGTAATGTTATTTCTTGAGTATTCACTTTTTAAGCCATAAGTTTATATTTATATGATTTTCTTCATAAGTATTTCTCACAATTAAAAGTATATTTTACTCTCACAATTAAAAGTATATTTAATCTAATTTAAGTTCATATAGGCACTAAGTTAATGTGAACTAATATGTGAGAACTAATATAAGAAAGCTACCGTATTTTTCGGACCATAAGACGCACTTTTTTTCCCCCAGAAGTGGGGGGAAAAAGTCCCTGCATCTTATGGTCCAAATATAGCCTACACATATACTTTTAAAAAAAAGTTTTTTTACTTGCCTGGCTCTGTGTGGTCTCTGTGTGCTTGCCCGGCTCTAAAATGGTTCTAAATGCTGCTGTTTACTTTACAGGGTTGATTACATGTGTTTATGACTGTGATGTTGGGTT